TTTTCTTTAATCTTCTTTAAGCGCAACGGAGCAACTGCGTCTAAAGTGCTGGAAAAGAGAGAGTTAAACGTTTCTGTTGCAATATCGAGTTCTTCTAAGCTATCTGGGATGCTGAGATGATGAAACTGATTAGGAAGATTATTGATAAAGCCATCTTTAGTGGCAGAAGTTATAGGTCTAACGTATTTATAACACGGAGTCGGCTTTGCAGCCTTGGCTAAATGTAATTTACATGAGACTAGATAATGATCTGAGATGTCATCGCTCTGCTGCAGAATTTCAACGGCATCAACATCTATTCCATGTGATAATATTAGATCTAGAGTATGATTACGACAATGAGTAGGTCCTGACACGTGTTGTCTAACTCCAATTGAGTTTACAATGTCTTTAAATGCCAATCCCAAAGCATCTTTTTCATTATCTACATGTATATTAAAATCACCAACAATTAGTACTTTATCTGCAGCCAATACTAAATCTGATAGAAAGTCCGCAAATTCTTTGATAAAATCTTTATGGTCCCCTGGTGGCCTGTACACAGTAGCCAGCAGAATTCTCAAATGTGATTTATCGTTTACACTATATATTTTTACATTAAGCACCAATACTTCAAAAGAAGTATATTTAAAGCTACATTTCTTAGTGGTTTTGAAAATATTACTATAAATTACAGCAACACCTCCCCCTTTGCCTTTCAGACGAGGTTCATTTTTATAACTGTAATCTTGTGGGGTTGACTCATTTAAAATAATGTAATCGTTTGGTTTTAGCCAGGTTTCTGTCAAACACAGCATATCAAGATTATAATCTGAAATCATATCATTAACTATAAGAGATTTTGAAGTAAGGGATCGAATATTCAGCAACCCAAGCTTTATCATTTGCTCATCTGTATTATATCTGTTTTTTATTTGTTGAACATCAATAAAAAGTTTAACCTGACGTTTTTTGGATTTCCAAATTCGGGGAACAGACACAGTCTCTATATGATGATATCTAGGTGAAAGAGGCTCTATGTGATGGGATTTATCTGACCTTGGTGAAATCATAATAGTAATAGTAATTGAGAAGTCTCCAAAAGTCTCCAAAATAGATTGCAAAATAGATTGCTAAAATGACCTGATGTCTGATAAAAGTTTAAAACAATACCTGGAAATTGTTGTTTTGCCAAACTTTTATTGCCGTCACTCTTAAATAGAAACATGGGAAAAACAAAAGCATGTGACCACTTATTTAAAACAAAACAAAGAATTTAATACTAGGGAAAAATATATAATATATATTTTGATTTATTCAAATATACTGTAAACATGACAGACATGAGGGCATTGTGGGAGTTCTATGATCTAACTGACTCACTAACTTTGGCTAAATTCTGCCCTCTTCTGTTTATTATTAGGAACTGTTCATCAAATGACAATTCTGTAATTATTTACTCACCCTCATGTCATTCCAAACTCTTAACATTTGTTCCATTGAACAGCATACGGGTTAGAGTAAATAATGTTAGAATAAACGATTTAGGTATAATCTAGCTAGATGGCTATTAAGCATGTTTGATTGCAGCTGAAAACGAATTGTAGCCATTCAAATCCATTCATTCAACCTTTTTATTAGAAGACCAGAGAGTGTCTTAAAGCTCCAACTCCCCAAGGTCTGAATCTGAACAACAGCCGAGTCAACCCTGCTGACTACGCCAAATGTGGCGTTTAGAAATAGATGGAGAAATGTTTACTGACTACGCCACCCCGGAGCCTATGTCCGGGGAGAAACCCTTAACAATTGAGCGAAGCTCACAGGTTCGTTTACGGCTGAGTCCGGTATCAGACATGGGTCGGATAAAAGACAACTTTATTTGAAACAGTCAAACTCTGCTTAACACACAAACACCTTACCAAATCACAGAAACCATAAAACACAACATTACCACATAAGAATTGTAGGTCTATAGATATATAAAAAAGTAACTCACATCAAAATAGGAAATATATAGAACACAATATCAATTCATTGAAAACCAAACAAACAAAGACAATAACAAAACCCTACAGAAACGACTTATAACAGCTAGGTGACTGATTGTCTATTGTAAGCTGTTCAAGGCAAACTGTTCAAGGCTTTGAGTAGAATTGGTTACTCACGACAGTTACGATAGGGGGCAAAGGTACCACGCCACAGGCCCCAAACCAACGGTACAGCTGATAATGCACACGTCAAACGCTGCAGATATAGAATTAATAAAAAAATAAAAAAGAATGAGCCATCGTGGTGCAACGGACGACACGCGAGCCGCCCCAAACGAGTAGATCCTCCAGTCCAATCCAGCAGGGGATCGCACACTCAGCTCCCAGGAACGAAAAAAAGAATCGCCGTAACAGTTTGATATCCAACCAATGGTGTAGACGAAGCAGACATGCAAAGATAAGTATCTAACCAACTGTTTGAATAAAGCCGCCTTTCCACTGCACACGACAAACGACAGCCGTCGGACCGGAAGTCATTCATCTTCAATGGAGAGTCGCACGGGAGCTGTGGGAGGCTTATCATATGCGTATGCGGAAAATTCGGATCCGACTTGAGCTTTGGATCCCTTGAAATATCTGAACTTCTGCGAATAGACCATATGCGACCGGCCGACCGGATGTGATGTATTCTAATCAAAACTATGAGTGCGAGGCTAGAATTACCAATATTTGAACTCTGTAATGTTATTCTGTAAACGCTATTTCTGTAAAATGTCGGTTATTAATAATTATGTTAGAAAAAATATTTTATAATTATTAAATCAATATTTATTTTGATTAGCTCTATAAAATCTACTATGTTTTTATTGTAGATGTATTGATGGTAATTTGTTTTGTGTGGATATATTCATGCATGCAATTGATTAAAATCATAAATTTTACCATTGTGAATAGCCGATGGTAACAGTTGCTTCACGACCAATTTCAAGGTTCCTTGAGACTGACACTAGGGGGCGCGATGCGACAATCGCATGTGAATGCCGTGTGCAGTGGAAAGGCTGATTAAGACCCGAAGCCCACCACAACATCCTTTGCACGCTAAACCTTAAATGTGATACAGCACACAAAACATAGATTTAACCAGCAAGGCCACTAATGATGATACAGTTAGCTCATACTCAAAACATACCTGTTGCTTGGCGACTCATATAGCAACTTAACAACTAAACTCTCCAAAACCCTTTCACGAGTTCACACTTACGAATGATCAGTGAGTAAACGGTTATGCGTATTTGGCGTGCTGTCCGGGGGGAGGACGCCGAACTGGGCCCGAACCCAGAGTACTCCCCCCGTAGCTCTGGTTAGGAAGATAACCAGGCAAGTGTGAGGAGATGGGGTGGAGGAATGTTGAAAACTGTCGAGGAATATGGATGACTCGACTGCGTATATTTATAGGCCTTACTCATGCTGATTGAGTGGACGTGTTGATTACTGATTGCTGACAGCTGGTTGGAATGACTTGATTGTTTGATCATTAGAATGTGTTCCTTCCGAACCTTGTAAATAAAGCATCATTTAAAATACTGGGTGTACATATAACATTGTTTATAATAGAAAATAAATTATGTGTATCATTATTTATAATACAGAGAATATAAAATAATATGTTGTATATACGTTAAAAGTACATGTAAAACATTTATCGTCAAGTTTGTAACATTAAACATTTGATTCATTGAGATGATTTACAATGATTTAATTTGCCCAGAAACGCGACAGCAACGGGTCATAAATAATCCGGACATGCACACAGCCTCTTTGGCGAGTAGCAATCAATTCGTCAAATCCAAAGGCCTTTCAAAAAATGAAATATGAATTTTTAAAAACGATTGAGGAGTTTATGGATGAATGTCTGAACAAAGATGAAGAAGAGGACAACGAAAAAGACGAATATTCGACGGTGAACGCGATGTGACGTCTGATTTTCCCTCAAGACTTACGTGAGTGACTAAAATGCATCGTTTCTAACACAACACAGCAGTATGTATAAAATTATACAATATTTATGCTGCTGTGTTGTGTTCCAACTGAACCATCACCACATTATTAGGATTGTCCTTTGGTAATACCATGGTACTACTTTTTGGAGTAGGTAAATAGCTACCTTACCGTAACAATATATTAGGTAACTTAATCGTTCAGTTCCAGAATGTATATATTCATGTTCCATGTTATCTCAATAATTTACGTTCCTATAACGTTACCATAGTCGTAGCCTACCACCGTTTTTGTTTACTATACATTTTTCTACACAGACAACCATAAACTGCCCCCCCCCCCCCCCCCATAACAGCAATGTTTTAACATTTATATTTATGAATTAATTACAATTATTTTAATCTGACACAATGATGCTAATTAATCAAGAAGAGAACGTAGCCTACGACTAGTCAAGGCAAAGCTATAATCAAAAATATCCCATTTTTAAATAATGCTAACGTTACTTAGTTTTGACATACAGCTTTATTTTATTAGTTATTAAGCTATCACAGCCTCTGATAACAGTTAAATATGTTGAGGTAAATAAAGGCTTATTACCTTGTACTGTTATCACTCTTCAGGTGGTTTTATTTGACATGTCTTTCTCCCCTTTGGACAAAGTTGTAGCAACTCTCTCTAAGGAAAAACGATCTACAGAGGGCGCTGTTTCTCACAAACACTAGACCAATGAAAGGAAGAGACTTTCGTTTCGGATTTATTTATTTATTTATTGTTTTTAATTAAAATTAAGCATTTGAAAGGATAATTTGTCATACAAGAAATCCCTAATAATCCGAACTATTTGACATGATCATGTTCCATTTATTTTATTAAAAGTCATTGCATTGTAGAATTGAATTTCCAGTATTATATATATATATATAAACACATATATAAAATAAAACATAATGCTAATATTATAGCAGATGACTGTGTACTGCTTACCAGATAAGTTAAAATATTGATTGACGTTGAAATGTTTTAAGTGAGGACTAAGAAAGAAAGGGGTCATAAGGATCATTATACAAAAATATTTGACCACAAACTACAGCGATTGACCAATCGTAATCAGGTATACCATAGAGCCCAATAATAATAATAATATTAATAATAATTTAGCAATTGTTTTTAGCTTTCTTCAGGTGGTGCTGGTGGGACCCCTTCTAAAAACGTACGAAAGTGATCGTCTGTGTTGAGTTCTGGGTGTTTGACCAACAGGTGGCATTTAGGGAAAAAATAGGCTGCTACCAGCCCAATGTTACTAAGTAAACTTACTCCTAATTGAGCAATAGTCTTTTCTTTATCACTTAGACTTGTGTAGATGGGGATGAACATCACCCACATTACACAGTAAATCAAGGATGAGATGGTGACATCTCTGGCCAGGTTATACTGTCCTGGCGGCTTTAGAGCCATGAAGGTGGACATAAATGACATAAGTGCCAGAAGAACATTGAATCCGAGCATCAAGCCGAAGTTTAACATGGGCTCCACTGGGCAACGCAAAAAAGTTTTCACATAGTTCACCTCCAAACTGGCCACGTATTGGGTCAGGGAGGGACCTTCTCGGGCGTACCAACCGCACAGTCCCGCTTGGAGCCCGCAACATCCCAGAATCACAAACCAGCTTCCTCGTCCTTGTAGGTTCTCCAGGTGATCGGGAGACTTTTCAGGGAACTCTGTGATGCACACAATCTGGTAAGTAAAAGATGGCATTAGATTGTTATAGTGTTTTTTGTGTGCATTTCTTGTTGTAATACAGTGTTTCTATTTGGTTTTATTTCAGGACTCAGATGTTACACTGAACCTCAAGTGATGACTTATCACACAATTGTGCATTGTGAAGTACAGATGAAGTACATTTAAATTGTGTCAATATTGCAATTACATGTTATTGCATAATTTTTTTATTATTTATTTAATTTTATTAAATGAAAATGGCTTTTAATTTTTTTTTTTTTTTTTTAAAAGATCACCTGAAGGGAAATGGTCAGAATGACAGAGAGAGCCACAGTGGGAAAAAAGGCGTTTAGTGGCTGCTGCAGACGGCACACGACATCTCCCGGCTGACCCAGGAACAGCACCAGGCTTATACATTCTCCCGCTAGGCTCAACAGAGCAAGGCCACTCAACGGTCCACCTGCAGTTTTCACCAGTGGAGTTCCTCTGTGCTTGAAAAATACAACCCCTACCAATACATGTAATGCTAGCACCAAAATTCCTCCCAGAATGAGTCCAATTGACTCATAGTTGCTCCAGGCCAGGTAAGTATAGATGGGATAGACACAGCTTGTGCTTCGTAGGGTGGACCACTGGCCATTGGGACATGGTCTACACTGGATGTCATCTTCAAATGAAAAGAGAAGGCAGAATAAGGTCAGTCAACATCTAATGACAAAGCGCTCATGCATGCATTTTCTATTCGCTACAGGCGTGTTAGATAAAGCAAGTATGTTCAGAGCAAATATTAACAGCCCTATTAGGATTGTTTAGAATGACTTGAAAACAGGGTCAGAAATTAATGGGCTAGGGGCAAAAATGCATTAAGGGAATAAGCTACATTTAGTTCCTGTTTTTTAATTGTATAATTTATGTAGGATATTTAAAATTGCACTAATCTCATAACATTATGGGATTATTCCACATTTTAACAGAATAAAGCAGCGTTGAATAGAGTTGGGTCCGAGTCCACCTTTGTCGAGTCCGAGTCAAGTCCAAGTCCTTAACAGTCGAGTCCGAGTCCAAGTCCGAGTCCAAAGAGGGCCGAGTCGGACTTGAGTCCGAGTCCTTAACATCCGAGTCCGAGTCGAGTCCGGCCGAGTCCTCAAAGATTTAAATGATTTGAAATTGACCTTTCACAAAGACCCGCCCCTCTTAGTTACTGTTGCTACGTCCGATAAGCCATTCCGCTCTCACTTCACATGTTCTCACACAGTGAAAAATATATTGCGGAGCAAAGAGGACACTGACAATGCGCCAACATACAAGACAGAGCAGCCTACTTTTGGTATGAAATAAAAGTTAAATTATTTTAATAATAAAAAAATAAAAAAAATAATTATGAAATTCAAAAAATAAATACTGTTTTGTGGTTCTTTAATGTGTAGGCCTTAGTTCAAGCAGCACATTAACTGAAAATCTCTTCTAGTTATAGCACGAATTAAACATGAATGAAAATCAAACTGCAAAAAGAAATCAATACACACCATTTTTCAAGTTCAAGTCCACTAACTTTAATCTACTAACTGGTTTGGTTTGTTTGTCGGACAAAAATGGCGGAGTTATGAAGAAGATGCTGGAAAAGCAAAGAATGTGCAGGAGCTGGAGGATTTTTCCTCATGAACAACCATTATAAAAACAAAAACAAAAAAAACACACACAAAAAAACAGTTGTGGATCATTCAGGTAATGACACACAATATAAAAATCAAGTAATTTGTCTTGTATTTTGTGTTTGTATTTTGTCTTGTGGACTAGGCTATTAAACATTGTTATGTGAAAAAGCTTTTTCAGTGCAGTACTAAATAGAAACAATGTTTTTATGATCCTTTCTTATAAATAAATAAAAATGACATTTTGGAGATTCTGAAAGGTGTATGTAAACTAAAGTGTAAATGTAACAAAAATCATAAAACTATTAGACACCAAAATGTTGCTATGGTTACTATGTCAATCATCGCAATTTCATGACTCACATGACTAAAATTTTGCGGATTCACTCCCACATTTAAATGCATTTATCACTCTTTATAATTTACTGTGTGAACGTAACCACTGGTCCTCTAGAAGCACGAAAAACAAAACTATTATTTAGTTTGTCAATAGCGCTCCCTTTATGCCATCACTTACTTACCGCGTTCTGCACTCTCCCTAAAACTCTCGTCATAAACACTGAATCCGCACTGCACAGTGAATCTCTCATTTATATCGCGTCTAGACTTTGTTGATTATGAGGGGATTTGCGAAAGGATAAAGCTTGTGCTGATTCTGAACATACATTTTGAGCGAATTCTCCGCATGTTGACTAAAACGCCTCTGATTTGCCACTGTGTTCATGCGCTTAATATACATGTCTGTGATTGGCTACAATGCTCAACGCGGAAACAACACAAGTAGTTTCGTTTCGTTTTTGAATAATATTGTGTCCTCCAGTGCCCGGACTCGACTGGACTCGGACATTTTTCCGAGTCTAAAATGTCCGAGTCCGTGTCAAGTCCGAGTACAAATTCATCCAAGTGCGTGACAAGTCCGAGTTCATTAAAAATTGGACTCGAGTCCGGACTCGAATCCGAGTCCGAGGACCCCAACTCTAGCATTGAACATCCTTAAAAATGTGGGCAAATATTGGCCCTTAATGGAAAAGTTCATTTCAGACCCTAGTAGTCGCGCACCTGTGCTGTTTAGGAACGTTCCCTCCTTACAGTCAATGCAGTCGAAACAGCAGGAGTGAAAGCCTTTAACTCTGCGCACTTGTCCTATCCCACAGTCTGAGGAGCAAGTGGACATTGGCACCTGTTACAGAGACCATTTGTCAAGAGGTGCAGGCTCTGTGATGTATACTAGAACCAGTCACAAGTTTGGACACACCTACTCATTCTCTATTATTACAATTTTACATATTTTAGAATAATGGTTAAAATAACAGTAAAATGTTTCAAAAACATTTTAAAGAAATTAATATATAAGTATTATATATATTAATAATACTTAATTATGTATTATTAGTCTACAAAACTATAATTGTAAGCATTTAAGATCATGAGACAGTGTGTAGAAACTATTTACTGGTAGTAAAACAAGTTATATGAAGCAATTTAAATTACAATACAAGCATTTGTCCCATTCGTACCTTTCCGTTTTTCGTGTGCCATTTTATATCTTCTTCATCAATTGTGAGGTTCTGATAAAAGTATCCAATTCCATCAAAGCTCACAGTGGTGCCATTAAAGATCCATTGCATAACATCGTAGCCAAAGTTTGGATTACCCTCTTTATCAAACTTAAAATGGACTCCATCTAGATCTACAGAAACTTTTTGTAGTTTCTTTAACAGCTGTAGGAAAGATCATATACTGTTCTATTAGTACACCCTTAATCTTGTAGGCTAAAACAAGCAGATTTACTGAAAGAAATGCTTGTGTGTGATTACCTGCCATGGATAAACTTTGTCAGTCTTGGGATTTAGAGCACAGCGGGTGGCATTACATCCAAGCAAGTCATGCAGCGCGTATGCAACACAGTAGATGGCAGTATACACACTGAAAACTGTCCGCTGCACAAGTTTTACCTCTACCATGCTCACGTTGGCTTGGTTTAGGGAGCTGCAGCTTGGGCAAGGGTTGTCCAGAGGGGAGATTTCTGTATCAGGCTCCTGGGGGATTTGTGTCTCCTCCATTTTTTTGAAGAGCTCACGGATATAGGGAGTGAAGAGGTCAATAGGTTTGGTGATGTCTGCAAACGCCAGCACTGTGCCTATTGAATTGATGCCGGGCAGGGTGGATACACCATCGTTCAGAGACCATGCAGTGCTTGCCACCCAAACGGCTGTTATGTTTCGTTTGATTACCTGGTCAGATAGTGATGACAAGAACATTTAGAATCACCAAAACGTGTATGCTTATTGAGAATATAAAGAAGTGAATAAAAAAAGAGAACAAGAATTACATATTAATATTTTTTCCTGAAGCCCACTTATAATATTTTCGGGACCTATATAGTTTCATAATTTTGTTTTGTGACCATGTTCTACTCTCTTTTTGAGCCTTACATTTAAACAGGCTGCTTCTTAAGGGGATGTTCACACAGAATGCATCTTTGCATTCCTCTGCACTGCTTTTCATGATTTTAAACATGCCCTAGATGAATGTTCTCGCATCTCGTGACACAGCGTTCTAAAAACGGCAGTGCTCAATTTAGTTTAAACATGCCTCAAGAAAGACCTTGCATTTTATTCCCATTCCACTGTCCTGCATCTTACATTCTTAAATAGAAAACATGTTATTTGAACAACCCCTAAATGTTTATGTAAACGTCCTCTTACCATGCGAAATGAGTAACAGCCTCGCACTTAATTTACATTTATTAATTTAGCAGATACTTTTATCCGAAAGGATTAACAAATGAGCAAGCAATTTGTTATAAAAGTGTTATAAATTTTGTAGTGCACAATGCGAGTTTCAAAGTAAGTGCCCTTGTTTATGGTTGTGGTAAGCAGTGTTTTAGCTGTTTCTTGAAAGTTGTGATGTGAGGTTTGTTTCACCAAAGAGGAAGAACAACTTTGTGCTTCTTTGTGAAGGGATAGCAATAAAAAAGCCTCCATTAAATTGTAGCCAGCAGTTGTGCTTGGTGTCATGTTAATGTATTTGGGAATCCAACAATTTTGGAACGAGGCTCTTTTGCAACTTATTGAACTAATTGAATGGTCTTTTTTGGTTTGGCCAGAAAGTTTACAGTTCTGAATCAACAGTATAATTTTATAGTATTGCAAACTCCTGTACTTCAAAAGATCAACTAAAAAAATCACAATATGGCCCTTTTAAAGTTGCAAAAAATTGTTTTTTTACCTCTATGAAGAAGTCTCTGGTTGGCTTGGGGAGAGAGAAAACAACCACCACTCCCACTTTGACGTCCACAATACGATTGAGAATCTCTTTTATCATTGGCTTTGGATCACTGTATACAGGAATCAAACCCTGATATGCCACACAGATGGACTCCTTATTGGCCATGCTGGAAAACTGCTGCTGACCCTTCTGTCCGTATTCATCGTCACTACCTATTACTGACACCCAGTTCCACCCAAACTCTTTCAGAAGCTGCACCATGGCCTCAACCTGCCAGCGGTCACTGGGAACTGTGCGCATGAAGGACGGGAAGGTCTCTTTGTCACTGAACATGTCGCTGGTGGCACCATAGCTAATCTAAGATTGGGCAATTAGAGATAAATTAAAACAGGAATTACAATAAAGAAAAAAACAAGAAGAGCATCACAGATTGAGTATGAAAATGCTAGTTAAGAGTTTTGCTTACAAAAACAATTCCAACAATATATCAGGTACAAGTACATGCATTATATTTGTTACAAATGCATATTTTTTTTCCCAAAAATGAATTATTTTTACCTAACACTTTACAAAAGCATTAGCTAACATAAACTAACAATGAGCAATATTTTTTTAAAGCATTTATTCATCTTTGTAATGTTAGTAAAAATCTAATTCTTCATAGTTTGTTCATGTTAGTTTACAGTGCATCAACAAATGTTAACAAATACAACTTTGGATTTTAAAAATGTTTTAGTAAATATTGAAATTACAATTGACTATGAATAATAAATGTGGTAGAAGTATTGTTTATTGTTATTTCATGTTAAAGAATATATTTAACTAATGTTAACAAATGAAACCTTTTTGTAAAGTGTTACCCTTTTTGCAGTATTTTTGTTTTTCATTGTATATGGTAAGGTATTTTTTTCTGTAGCATTTAAAAAAAAAAATCTGTTAGAACTAATTTTTTTTTATGAAATTTTACGTTTCATCCTCTAACACTTTTAATGGGAACTCACCAATGGCATAAAAAAAAACCCAATCAGCTTGCCAATGATCGGGACCAACTCAGAGTTGCTTGGGCCTATGATAGCTATAACACGAGTCTTGTAGTCAGTGTAGTTACAGGCGATGTCCACTTCCTCTGTTGATTCCTTTGTGAGAAGCTGGAGGACAGGCCTTATAACAACGGCTGGTTGCATGCATGTGTCGTAACTCTCAAATCCTAGTGTGATTCCAGGTAGAAGATCCTTTATAGAGTTGATCAAATCCACAGAGAACTTCATCACCAATGAAAGAGACAGACCAAAGGTGCTTATACTGTCAAAACAGAAGGATTAAAGGTGATTTCAGGGAGCAAAGCTTTTAAACATTTTGTAGACTACATGGTCAATATGGCTTCCTCAAAGGTTTTACCTGTTGCACTCAATATCGTCAGGCTTCACCCGTTGGCTCAGTTCGCTTGTGAGTTCGTTTATGGGGAAAAGTCCTCCTATCAGAATATCTCCAGGGGATTTGAAAAGATTTGTTGAGATGTTCTCAAACCATGATGGATTCTTGCTGAGTCCAGACCCCAGAATGCCACAGAGCACCAGAAGTGTCCACTCCTTAGCCATTCTGGAGGGTAAACAATTGAAGCATGAAGATATATATCATTGAAATCAACATGACATCATGACTTTGCGTAAACATACACGCCACTTTCAAGTCAAGTGGCGTGTTATCTATACGCATTTTGAAATATCCGCGTGTATGTCCACGCCGAAATCTTTTGCGTGTATGTCTACGCCATTAAATGTCCGAGTGATTCCGCGTGTATGTCTACGCCGTTAAATGTCCGAGCGAAACGAAGCAAAATCTATATCTACAACATCTGTGGAGCGATATTTCTTTTCCTAGGATGGTAGGAGAAGACTCATAAATGGTATTAACCCCAGTGACGGGTAGGTTTAGGGACGGGGTTGGGGTAGGTCATATATTTATATATGCATAATACAGTAATATAACGTTAAGTCAAAGGCGTTGATAAACACGCTGAAAAGCGATTATGCGTGTTGATAGCACGCCAAAAATGGAAATACGAATTGGCGTGTCATACATACGCCATTTCATGAGATCAGTCTGCATTGAAATTGATAAATGAAAGTGAAATAGCTGGACTGACCTCATTGGAAGTATTGCTTAGGCTCTTCTTGTTTAGATGTGTTGTGATTCTCTCAGTGGCGAGAGATTATGATTGTAAGATGGTCAACTGACAACACGTGAGTGAGTAATATGCACCACCCCATACTTCTGTGATCAGCTTGCAGGTGCTTTGCCTGCAAGGGTCAAAATCAAGGTTCATTCCGGCTTCACTTGGAAATGTTCTGGTCTCACCTCAACGTTCAAGTACGTTTCAAATGACATTGGTAATTCGCAGAGTAAAAAGTATTTTGTGAAGTATAAGGGGTTGTTCACACAGGTTGTTCACTCTGTGCTATTTTGTTAATAGCTGGTCCTTTCCAGTTGAATTTCATCTCATTGTTTTTTTCAGCACTGTGTTTTTAGGACACTATCAAGTTAAACTTAAAAAAAACTTGCTTTTTGCTTGCTTATTTTGCTGTCTTGCTGCTTTTTATTGTTTCTTATGCATTGGGTAGAAAGTTATTATTTGTGTACTTAAAGGCAGGGTAGGCAGGTTTTTTCTAAAACATTTTTTTACCAAATTTGTTTAAACTGTCTTTATATACCAATACATATTTAAAATGTAAGTACTCTGAAAAGAAGAGTATAAAATTTGAGTGTCTGTAGTCCTCTCAGGGCTGCAATAAACACAGCTATTCCATTCGGAACGAATGCAATGATTGGCTGGGCGACTGTCACTCTCCCTCGCTACCATGGCTACCACCCCTGTGTCACGGTGTGGGTTTTGTGTCTTGTTCTTGTCTGTCATGTGTTTCCCAGTTATTGTATATTTGGTTCAGTCCTGTTACCAGGTTTCCCGCTCCTCGTTTGTGTTCATGTATACCACCTGTTTTCTTAGTTGATTTGCTCCAGCTGTGTCTTGTTTCACTTATCTGTTCCTCTGTATTTAAGCCCTATGTTTTAGTCCAGTCGGTGTGAGTTCTTGATTTAGTGTGACTTTGTAATGTTGTTTGTTCTGTTTCTGAGTCCTGATCCATAGTCTGAGTCTTTGTCAAAGTTTAAGTCTATTTCGAAAAACACTGCTGCACTTGGATCCTGCTTCCTGCTCTGCATCATTACACCCTGCTGCTACAGGAGCCGCCCACATGCGCGCACTCGGTTGACTCGCTCGTTACCGAATCAAACTCAATAGGAGCTGGAGGACGCGTTTACCAGCGCCGAGCGGGGAGGAGCGCAGTGCATAGTGACATCATGTCAGAATCACATGTAAGAAAATACCTAACTTTATCATTATGAATATAAACAACTAACATGGCTGTTAGTACTCACTATCAATATATTAAAATATATTGAGTTTGATTCAGTAACGAGCTAGTAACATAAGGCAAAGCTAAAAACAGGTTGCATTGATACACGTTTTCCAGTTACCATCAGTTACACTGTGATGAAGGTGAATTTCGTGTGAAAGATTCATAACATATACGGTGTTTTGCATGTAAGAGCTTCCACGATGAGAGCCTCTCCCCTTCCGAAATGAGCGAGTCAACCGAGTGTGCGCATGTGGGCGGCTCCTGTAGCAGCAGGGGTGGTTGCCATGGTAGCGAGGGAGAGTGACAGTCGCCCAGCCAATCATTGCATTCGTTCCGAATGGAATAGGTAGCTGTGCTTATTGCAGCCCTGAGAGGACTACAGACACTCGATTTTTATACTCTCCTTTTAGAGTACTTACATTTAAAATATTTATTGGTATATAAAGACAGTTTAAACAAATTTGGGGAAAAGTTTTTTAGAAAAAACCTGCCTACACTGCCTTTAAATAAAATAAAGGAAATGTTTTTGTTATCAAACTGGGTGTTGTTTCCCAGTAACAGTACTTGTATGTTCAGAAACACGTTGTGTAGTGCAGTGAGAGAACACAAGCACAGAAAAGAGTTCTGGTACAAATAATGTGTGTTGAATAAACAATTGAAATGTGGTGCTTGCACAATGCATTCATACAGAAATTTCCATAGTATTTGTTTGTGGATTTGATAGAAAGTGCTTCGTGATGGATTATTGCCCATGCATGAATAGGGAATTAAACATTGAAAGACAGCAAGAACTAATGAAGTATTTATATTACTTTTTAAATTACTTAATGGCCAAACCATTTTAATAATGAATGATTTTTTAAGATTTATTTAAAACATACCTATTAGTGATTTGATTTTGTGACCTTAAACTCATATGGATATTATTGAATATTACAATATGGATTTCTGTTCCGTGTCTATTGTATTTGCAAGTTATGTAGTCACGTACATACTTATTACTGTGGGCGCTAAATGGGTTTGCATAAGTTTAACATCAGACGTATGTCAAAACTATCGGTCAGATATTTGCATTCAATTTTGACTGTTGTTAAGATGAACTTACATTGAATTCCCGTTCTAGCCACATGTTTACAAGTGCTTTGCATACATTTGGAGTAAGGTACGTAGCATTTTTCTCTTACATTTTCATTGGTGTTAGTTTTTGTTTATATCTTATTTTGTAAATCTCAAACAGGATTATTGTAGTTGAATGGATTGAATCCAGATGATGAATAGATGAATCTTTATGATTGGCCTACATGAGCAGGACTGAGTTAATTTGAGTTAATCTGTCAATTATGAATGACATAAATAGTTCATTCACTGAAATGAGAAACATTTGAGAGATCTATTGGATAGAGACATATTTCTGTTGCATAGAAATTTAACAAAAGCTCCCTTGCAACTTGATATGATATTTTAAAACCTTTCAGTCTCTCGCTTCTGCTGACCTTAATCCATTATATGTCTTATGTCACTAACCAGCAGAGGTCTAAATGATGTTTTAATTGAAGATTAGTAATCAAGATCTTCTCTAAAATGAAAAAAAGGGACAAAAACTTCTTTATCTCCCTGGAGATCTTGACATCAACCGGTAAAGGCACACAAACATCTATCCCGTTTGTAATCTGCCTCAAAGCTTTTTGCTACATTTGACCATTTACTTTTGCTTTCTCTCTTCTTTAGTTTGTACGTATATTGCACGTATATGCTTTCTTTTTTTAAAGAAAAGAAGTTCGCTGACTGGAACATATGATATAAAACAAATTTTCTCCTTCAGTTTGTTTTGGGTTTGATGTTCAGATGAAGATGTCAGCATAGGGGTATTTGTATGTTGCCCTGTTGCAGAAGAAGCTGCACGTTTGGACGGCCTTCCTCGAGTGCACTGCATGGGTGTGTTTTAAACATGCGTAGGTGGATCTTCCACCTTCCCTCTTCCTGCATGCGTAGGGGTTGATGAGCCGGTGTGTGCGTAGGTGTGGGTTCGGGTGAGTTACTATGAACATGCTTATTTGCTTTGTTTGTTTTATATTCTGAGGCTGCTTTAAACAGGGAGGTTTATAGTTGATTAATTAAACCCCCCCCCGCCCACCCCCACCCCCCCCCCCACCCCCCACCCCCACATACTCAGTCAAACAGGACAATATCTTGGCATCTAGCTACACCATCTTGGACTGTGAGTGACTTGAAGCACACTGTAAATTGTAGTTTTATGACTTTTTTTGTCATGTCCGCTTCACTGTCATAAAAAACATTGGTAGCTTTAGAGGTACAACAGGTTGTTATTGCGGCAGTAATTTGAAAGGTACTTTTGTACCTTATATACCACTAAAATGTGCATATTAGTATTAATTTACATAATTTAGGGGGAAATAAAACATGTATCACCCTCAAAATTATTTTCAAAAGAAAGTTTGTCAACATAGGAAAGTTAATTTTAGTTATAAACCAAGGTCCTTAATAACTATGTTGCCCCTCATACAATACGTTTCCTAACACTTTTTGTAGTGTTACTCTTACACTTTCTTTAGTCAGACTTTTAATTCATCCATTGGCATTTAAAAAGTTTCCAACATGCTAACATCGTGGAAAAGAAAATGCATTTGTATGTTCTTTGAAAGATTGTCTATTTTGCATACAAATCCTTTAACACGGTCATAAGCACTGACCTTTCATGTATCATCTGGTACCGCTTACTTGTTTCACCACAGGAAGCCACTAGGTGGCAGAACAGTCCAAACAGCATGCAGTGAACATGGGTTGAGGATGCATCTTAGCATGCATCCTGATGTGCCCTGCTTGCACAATATTCAAGAGTACTGCTCATTAAAGTGGTTAACAACCGCATGCTGTTACTGTTTGTTCCGATAAACAAACACATATACACAAGGTAAAGAAGGTTAATGCACATGTATCAGCTGAATATATTCATCTAATCTGATTAAGGAAATGAGTGATAGAGGCATACGGATCTAGTGATATGCACAGAGAGGGCAAAAAAGACATGCGTGGGTGGACGCTGATGGCCTCGGGGCCGTACAAGGGTACACTCTGTAGCCAGAGTGTGTTTGGACAGCTGATATCATGGGTTAAATGTACCTGCTTTCAGGGAACGGAGATGTGACCGCTTATGAGTCTGTTTGTCCTGTCAGCAGATAATTACTCTGTCAACATCATGTGTGTTTGGTTTGTTCCCTGGTGTCTAGTTTAAGCCTGAGATTTTACAGCTTGTGTAAGAATGTTCTGCTGCCGCTATTGCTAGGTTTAGGGCTTGTTGTGGTGTGTAGGATTGTATTTTCAGTAAAGAACAAATGCATGATGAAACTGTTCCAAAAAGCATCAGTTTACCAACGTCAGAGAAATTGCACAGTTGCATTTGGAAGCAGTGTTTGAGCATTTCGGGGAGTGCTGAAAGCTAGTGCTGAGATCTCCCAGAATGCTGTTCTAGCCTGATTCCCTGTGGACTCACTGCCTTGTTCTGTTGAACTTCCATTTGTGTTGCATCCAAATCCCCCGCTCTCACTAGACCCCTCATGTTCGTCTTGCTCTCTCTTTCTCTCTCCCCCCGTGAATGGTTGGATGAGTCCAGCTCTAATCTCCATCAGCGGACCCAGAGAACACTGGGCTCGTTGTCAACACGCTGGCTAGATCCACCACAGTCGCTGACAAATTATTAACTAGACTCTCGTTCTCTGCCTCATTTGATCCTTACTCTGCTCTTTTTCCAACTTGCTCTGGAAATCCTTCTCCTTCAGCATGTTCTTTTGTCTTCATATATGTCGTATAGGACAAAAACAATGCTCTGCAATATGTTTGCATAAGTGCTTTGGCACATGTTTTTCTGAAGAATGAGGATGTCTTACATTTGATAATATGGTCAAGGGTTTATACAGTAAAATACA